TGTAAGGCTATTCATACCTCCAGAACGTGTCTGCCATCTGCTCCGTCTTGACCCTCACTGCCATGAGCATGGAGAGGTGAGTGTCGTGTGTGTGGGGGAGAGGTGAGAGTGGTAGGGGGGGTGTGGGGGGTGGTGTGGGGGGTGAGTGTGGTGTGGGGGGGAGAGGTGAGAGTGGTGTGGGGGAGAGGTGAGTGTGGTGTGTGGGGGAGAGGTGAGAGTGGTGTGGGGGAGAGGTGAGTGTGGTGTGTGGGGGAGAGGGTGAGAGTGGGGGGTGTGGGGGAGAGGTGAGAGAGGTGTGGGGGGGGGGGTGTGGGGGGGTGAGTGTGGTGTGTGAGGGAGAGGTGAGAGTGGTGTGGGGGAAGGTGAGTGTGGTGGGGGGGGGGGTGTGGGGGTGGTATGGGGGGTGAGTGTGGTGTGTGGGGGAGAGGTGAGAGTGGTGTGGGGGAGAGGTGAGTGTGGTGGGGGAGAGAGAGAGAGAGGGAGGGAGGGACTAATAGTTCCTACCCTCTCTCTACCCCCCCCCCCTCTCACAACACTCACCCATCACCCGTGCAACATATCCTACAATGACTCAATCCTCTCTCTCTCAATCTTTCTGCAATAACCTTCCCATCTCAGTCCACTTAAACTGCCCCTGTGCAACGTTTCTCAACTAATCGTGTTGTTGCAAAGTTGATTTTCAACTTGATCGGGAGGATGGAAGGATGCTCCCCCCCCCACCCCCCTCTGTTGTCGGGGGGGGGGTGCCTTAGACACATGCCTCTCCTATCCAGACCCTTGTGTCACTAGTGGCACCTGTCTATATTAAGAGCTGGGGGGGGGAGGTGGGAGGAGGAGAAGTAGAAGAGAGCCTTCAGTGTCTCTGATCTCATCCCCTGTACATTAGGAGCTAGAGCAGTGCTAGACACAACAGTTTAATGTTGCCGGCTGGTAATGTGGATATCACCCTTCGGGTTTTGATGTTGCAGGTACTACGCTATCCTGATGTTTTCCAGGTACTACGCTATCCTGATGTTTTCCAGGTACTACGCTATCCTGATGTTTTCCAGGTACTACGCTATCCTGATGTTTTCCAGGTACTACGCTATCCTGATGTTTTCCAGGTACTACGCTATCCTGATGTTTTCCAGGTACTACGCTATCCTGATGTTTTCCAGGTACTACGCTATCCTGATGTTTTCCAGGTACTACGCTATCCTGTTCCCGTTCCGAGCGAAGTACATCCTGACCGTCCACCAAGCTCAGAGGATGACGGGTCTCGTCTGGGTTCTGTCTGTCCTTCTGTCCACGCCTATTCTCTTCATCCAGGTGAGTGACAGGTGAGCCCAGGAGGGCAGTGACAGGTGACTAGGGACAGAGAGGGGAGAGAGAGAGAGAGAGAGAGAGAGAGAGAGAGAGAGAGAGAGAGAGAGAGAGAGAGAGAGAGAGACAGTAGAGGTTAAAACCGTCAGTAGTTTCAAAGCGTCATACGACAAAGAGTGCTGGGAAGACGGGACACCACGAGCGTAGCTCTCATCCTGTAACTACACTTAGGTAATTACACACACACACACACACACACACACACACACACACACACACACACACACACACATAACCTAAGGATTAAGACAGAGGAGGACAGCTTGAGGCTTCAGGAAGACCTGCACAACCTAAAGGAATGGTCAAAGAAATGGTTGTTAGAGTTTAACCCAAGCAAATGTAATGTAATGAAGATAGGGGTAGGGAATCTTTACATTAAAGAACCAGCGGTTGAAATGTCGGGATCCAAGAGCTAAAGCTTTAATCCGGCAGACATAAATAGGTAAATACACAGAACGGCAGCCATGATGGGGGGTATGGGGGAGAGGGGGGGGAGTGTTGAAAGCTGTACGTGCCTAATTGTATACGAGCTAGTGAGTGGCACTTGAACTGGTCAAGTGGTCGAGTGGTACTCTCTCTCAGTCACTCTGACGGAGTATAACCGTCAGTGATTGGTGACTGGAGTGACTGAGAGAGAGTGACTGATTAATTAAGCTGCTTGAATGCAGCACAGGCCACTTTCACTCAAGCTAGAGTGGCCCTCTCTCACTCAAAAAACTTTGCATGTATGCATGCAACAACATTGTTACACACTCACACACACACACTCCACCACCCACCCTCTCTCTCCACAGGTCCACAGCCGTGTGGGCGTGCGGGTGGAGTCATTCTGGTGCCACAGGAACTGGGAGAACGCGGCACTCTGGCGCGCCTACGAGACCTACATGCTGGTGGTAGTGCTAGCGGTGCCCACTCTCATCATGGGCTTCGCCTACACCGCCATCGGCTGTAAGCTCACCAAGGTCATGATAGAACGTTCCTCGCTCGTCGGCGCCGGCTCCCATGTGTGAGTTCGTATATATGTGTATATATATGTGTGTGTGTGTGTGTGTGTGTTCTTCATGTTCCTTGGTCGTGTTCTACGGTTCGTGGGCATAATGATAGCTTGTGTGTGTGTGTTGTAGCTTTTGTTTATTATAACTTGATGACCTTAAAGCTCTGACATCTTTAGTATTGACCTTCTGACATCGTTTAGTATTGACCTTCTGCCATCGTTAAGTTAGCGGCCTTAAACTTCGGACATCTTATGTTAGTAACCTTAAAATTCTGACATCTTAAGTTAATGACCTTAAAGTCCTGATATCTCAAGTTAGTGATCTTAAAGTTCCAACCTCACTATAAGAACTTCGTGACCTTAAAGTTGCAACATCTCGTCAATATATTTCCTCATTGGTCACAAAAGAAGGATTTTGACAAGACAGTTCAAGTCGATGGTGATGCGGTTTGCAAAGCTACCTTGAGGTTACCTTGAGGTGCTTCCGGGGCTTAGCGTTCCCGCGGCCCGGTCGTCGACCAGGCCTCCTGGTTGCCGGACTGATCAACCAGGCTGTTGGACGCGGCTGCTCGCAGCCTGACGTATGAGTCACAGCCTGGTTGATCAGGTATCCTTTGGAGGTTATTATAAGCTGGCAATTATCGTCTTGCAAATGGTATTGCATGTGTTTGTATGGTCGTATGTTTGTATGGTCGTGTGTTTGTATGGTCGTATGTTTGTATGGTCGTGTGTTTGTATGGTCGTATGTTTGTATGGTCGTGTGTTTGTATGGTCGTGTGTTTGTATGGTCGTATGTTTGTATGGTCGTATGTTTGTATGGTCGTATGTTTGTATGGTCGTGTGTTTGTATGGTCGTGTGTTTGTATGGTCGTATGTTTGTATGGTCGTATGTTTGTATGGTCGTATGTTTGTATGGTCGTGTGTTTGTATGGTCGTATGTTTGTATGGTCGTGTGTTTGTATGGTCGTGTGTTTGTATGGTCGTGTGTTTGTATGGTCGTGTGTTTGTATGGTCGTGTGTTTGTATGGTCGTGTGTTTGTATGGTCGTGTGTTTGTATGGTCGTGTGTTTGTATGGTCGTGTGTTTGTATGGTCGTATGTTTGTATGGTCGTGTGTTTGTATGGTCGTGTGTTTGTATGGTCGTGTGTTGTATGGTCGTGTGTTTGTATGGTCGTATGTTTGTATGGTCGTGTGTTTGTATGGTCGTATGTTTGTATGGTCGTATGTTTGTATGGTCGTATGGTCGTAAGTCTCATGTGCTGACACATCTCTCACACACCACAGATTGTAAAAAAGATTAAATCGTGCATATATATATATATATATGTATATATATATATATATATATATATATATATATATATATATATATATATATATATATAATATATATATGTCTTAATAATCCCTGTGGGATATGGTTGGTAGTGCTGAGCACGTCTTAACGTCCCCCTTACAGTTCCGCCTTGGAGACTCACCCACTTAATTCCATCAGGGTGACGAGCAGGAGCCGAGACGATGATCGAGACGTACGACAGGTGAGTAGAAGCACGTCATAGTCCTAGAGAATATTAGACTTTTGATTTGTCAAAAAAAATCACTCGAAATCGGCTAGAAAGTTGATTGACCAGACCACACACTAGAAGGTGAAGGGACGACGACGTTTCAGTCCGTCCTGGATCATTCTCAAGTGGTCGGCTAGAAAATTTGTATTTAAGTGGGTGGAAGTTATTGAGTGTCTTATTTCCGTCTTTCTGTCTGTCTGGTGATGCGGTGCGGGGCAGATCGTAACGATGCTGTTGGTGGTGGTGGTGTTGTTCATCATGTGCTGGGCCCCCATGCTCGTTACCAACGTGCTGAGGGCGTGGGGCGTCCTGCCTACCTACGACCCAGGCCCTTCTACAAGCATCTCTACAACGCTGTTCACCTCCTCGCCTACTTCAACAGGTCATAAAACACACACACCCGTTGGATATATATATATATATATATATATATATATATATATATATATATATATATATATATATATATATATATATATATAAAATATATATGTGTACATACAAAAGAATGGGGGTGGTAGGAGAAGATAATATTAGTGTTCAGTGAGAAACCACAAGGTCTCCTCTGAATACTTTTTATTTCTTCTCCGAGGCTATGGGTCCCCACATTGGCACCAGAGGTGGTACCCTCACAAACTTTTATATATATATATATATATATATATATATATATATATAATATATATATATATATATATATTATATATATATATATATATATATATAATATTATACATACAAAATTTTACTTTTAATATTCTGGTTAAAGGCGATTTAGGAGTATAGTTATTGTTGCTTCTTGTTTAAAACTTGTATGATTATTTTGTTTATATATCATCTAGGAGTATGATGTTTTGTAATATTTTTGTATGATATTAAGGAGGATTACTCACCTGCCCCATTCACCTTTCCAACCACTCACTCACTCACTCACTCACTCACTCACTCTCCCAACAGCTGCATCAACCCTATCGTGTATGGTTTCCTCTCAAAGAACTTCCGAGAGAGCTTCTACCTGGCGCTATGTCCGTGTGTCCGCGCCCGTCGGCCACCCGCCAGGCAAATGTCCCTCTCACACACGCGAACCACATCAGTCGGGTGAGTGTGTTGGGTGGGGGGGGGGAGTGGGAGGGTGTGGTAGCCTAGGAGGCGTGTGGGGGTGGAGAGAGGGAGAGAGGGGGGGGGAGAGAGAGAGAGGAGAGAGAGAGAGAGAGAGAGAGAGAGAGAGAGAGGAGAGAGAGAGAGAGAGAGAGAGGAGAGAGAGAGAGAGAGAGAGAGAGAGAGAGAGAGAGAGAGAGAGGGCAGACATATAAAATACTTAGGGGGGATTGACAGAGTTTAAATAGATAAAATGTTCACAATTAATACAGAAGAACAAGGGGGCATGAGTGAAAGCTTGAAACTCATTCGTAGAGATGTTAGAAAGTTTTCATTTAGCGTGAGAGTAGTGAGAAAATGAACTAAAGGAGCAGATTGTGGAAGTAAACTATATTCATAATTTTAAAACTAGATATGATAAGGAATAGGTCAGGAGTCACTGCTTTAAACAACCCCCCCCCCCCCCGCCAGAGAGGCGGGGTACAAGAGCTAATGCTCGATCCTGCAGACACAAATAGGTGAGTACACACACACACAGACCTTGCGGCTGAGTGGACAGTGCTCGGGATTCGTAGTGTAAGGGCCTGGGTTCAATTCCCGGCTGAGGCAGACACAAGTAAGCAGAGTTTCTTTCATCTGATCTCCCTGTTCACCGATAAGTAAATAGGTATTGGAAGTTAAACAGCTCCTACGGGCTGCACCCTGGGGATGTGTGTTTATGTTAGAGTGAAATATATGAAATAAATACAATAGAAAAAATACGTCTGGAGTCAGAACGTTAGACAACCGACGGTTAGAAAGGCGGGGTCCAAGAGCTAACAGCTCGATCCACCAGGCAAAAATTGTAAATACAAATAGTAAACACACACATAGTATCTATTGACTAAATCTTTACTTCTGCTTTCAGGTTCAAGGAGAGTTTCCGGTTGAGTGTCCGATACAGTAACCGGGCCACCAATGTATAAGTGTCCGATACATTAACCGGGCCACCAATGTATAAGTGTCCGATACAGTAACCGGGCCACCAATATATGTGTGCAATATAGTAACTGGGCCGCCAATGTATAAGTGTTCAATACAGTAACTGGCCAACAAATGTGTTAGTGTCTAATACAGCAACTGGGCCACAAATGTATAAGTGTCCAATACAGAAACTAGACCACAAATGTATTAGTGTCCAATAAAGCAACTAGGCCACAAATGTATAAGTGGCCAATACGGCAACTTTGCCTCAAATGTGTTAGTGTCCAATACAGTAACTCGGCCACAAATGTATAAGTGTTCAATATGGCAACTGGGCCTCAAATGTATTAGTGTCCAATACTGCAACTGGGCCACTAATGTATTTAGTGTCGAACTCTCCACTGGCACAACCAACTTGTGAATGTCCAGCCACCGAACTAAACAATAAACATAAAATATTTGAACCTCAACTGATCAACCCAACATCAGTGTCCTATCCCCCCCCCAATGTGACAACCCACTTCTGAATGCCCAAACAATCAACCAAACACCCAATGTCTGAGTATCTGACCACCCAACTGAACTTTCCAACAGAAATGTCCTATCCCTACCAACCATACAACCAACATCTAAAAATCCGAATTCCCAACAGCACAATCAACATCTGAAAATTCGAACTCCCAACTGAACAATGTCTGAAAATCCGAACTCCCAACAACACAGTCAACGTCAGAAAATCCGAACTCCCTACAGCACAAGCAACGTCTGAAAATCCGAACTCCCAACTGAACAAACAGCATCCGAATGTCTGACTCTCCAGCAAACACAAGCAACTTCTAACTGTTCGTACTGTGTACCATGGTTGATGCAGTAGTCATTATATACATCCACTGTAACTCACTGGCTCTAGTACAGTATTTACTATATAGGTGTGTGCATATTGTGCATGGGAGAGAATTTAATATGTACCAGAGAATGTGAGGTAGTAGAGAATGCAATTAAAGGAAAAAGGTAAAGTAATTAGGAGGGGGAAGTGGTGAAGCAGTATGATTATATAGCACTTGGAAGGGCTGTGAGAACAGAGGTGGAGGAGGGGTGCCCTAAACATCTGGGGCCAGATTCACGAAACAGTTACGCAAGCACTTACGAACCTGTACATCTTTTCTCAATCTTTGGCTGCTTTGTTTACAATTATTAAACAGTTAATGAACTCTGAAGCACCAGAAGGCTGTTTATAACAATAACAACAGTTGATTGGCAAGTTTTCAAGCTTGTAAACTGTTTAATAAATGTATCCAAAGCCGTCAAAGATTGAGGAAAGATGTACACGTTCGTAAATGCTTGCGTAACTGCTTCGTGAATCTGGCCCCCTGGACCATTCGGGGCGCTTGATTTCACAGAGGGCCCTGCCAGGCACTTAGCGAGGTCCTCGCTAGAGTACGTAACTCTACCCTTACATATGGATGTAATTCATTTCAAGTAGTTCTTATTACCTTTAATAATGTAATAATCATAGTCACCTATCACAGAACGACCCAATATTATTCACTAGAAATAGTCGACACAGGTATTTCAGTAAATGTCAGTGAATGTAAGTTGACCAGACCACACACACACTAGAAGGTGAAGGGACGACGACGTTTCGGCCCGTCCTGGACCATTCTCAAGTCGATTGTGAATGTACTCTAATGTTCGTACTGTTGCCCAGAAGTACTAGTAAAGTATATTTTCATCTCATTAACTTTTTACCTTTTCATCCATACCCCAGAGAACACGTGACTTTTCCCCTGTGGACTCCCACAGGGGAAGTAAAACACTTCCTATTTGTTTTACTCACAGATTTGTAGAACTATTCATTTTAATCAATTCAAAATATATCTCCCCCCTTCATTAACATAATCTCTCAATTGTTTATCGCATCTTTAGGATACTTCACGATAGATGTATGAGACGAGGTAATTATTAGGAGAAAACGCTAAGCTAGTATGGTTATATAGCACTTGTAAGGGCTCATAAGAGTAAGGAATAGGGATATGAGGACAAGAAGTAAGTTCAAGCTCCATATCTTCATCGCCCAGCTCCTTGTACCCATATCCCAGCTTCTTGTACACATATCCCAGCTTCTTGTACCCATATCCCAGCTTCTTGTACCCATATCCCAGCTCCTTGTACCCATATCCCAGCTCCTTGTACCCAACTTCCAACTTCTTGTACCCATATCCCAGCTCCTTGTACCCATATACCAGCTTCTTGTCCTAATATGCCAGCTCCTTGTCCTCATATTCCTTCTCAATACTGCATTGTCATACTAACTTAGCACCTGCTCCTTTTCGCCATAAAGTCACAAGCTTTCGTAAGATAACCCACAGGAACCCATTTGAACTCAATACTTCCCACCTCTCCCAATCGTATATCTTGAGCTGTCTTGTTTGAGACGGTGGCATGAGGGCCTGTGTGTGTCTCTGGTGGTACTGAGAAAGACATTCTCTTATAAACATTGCCCAAGTGGTGCTCCACGCGTCTTAAATTAGCGCAGTTTATCTAAGGTTTTGGGCTCGGTGCTCTTAAAGCAGACATTCCATAATGTTATTAAAAACATTTCTTATAGTTTCTGTGCAAATCGTGGCGATAAAATGTATTATTTTATAATACTGTATATTGAAAGAATTAATGTATAATAGAGTAGGATTTAAATAGGTGTATACGTTAGTATTTTGTGATGAATGTATATTAAATGTATCTTTAAGATTTTGTAAATATATTTTTCACTTAAATGTAAAATGTAAGGTATTTATTCAACTCAGAATACAACTTGAACAGTTTTATAACTAGATAGTAGTAAGGGTTAGAAAATATTTCTTACAGGTTTAAAAAAAAGCACATAACTGTATTTGTAATTGTCAATTGCCTCCCTGGAAGCTCCCTGGTTTAGCATACGGGCTCACCATAGCCCGTGCTACTTGAAACTTTTTGTTCCAAGTAGCGAACCTATAACAACAACAACAACAACTCCCTGGTGCTCGTGGGGGAGGGGGGATGTTGTTTCCCAACCAAAAAGCCAGCAGGCTTCCCAGTATAAACTCCAGGTATCAAGTTAAAAATATAAGGTCATTGGAAAAACAAGAGCTAATCGACATACCTATGAACCTAACATAAGTGGCATTTAATACTAAGAGATCTCACCCTATCCTAACATGGATGATATATGCACCGTGAATATCACATTAATGTGATGGTAGGTACCATGAAGAATCTCAGAGTGCATCTGGTACCAAAAGGGGTTCGAATCCCCCCCTTCATGGATGATATGTATTTGTGCATTGGTGTGTATTCTCCTGTATTAAGAGGGAGGGGGGGAGCTTAGCTCCTGGCTCCCGCCTCGTAAATTAGCACTTGCCTGGATACACATGTTCCCTGAAAGCCCTTGTGTCTGCGCTGTATCAGGAGGCTGCTGCCACCACCGCCACCAGCCACGATCTTCACTACACACATCCGGGTGTTGAGATACTCTCGACGGTCCGGGGTTCCCCAGGGTCCACCCAGAACACCGCGGGATTCTATATGGCCTGTCGCCGCTTCTGAGGCCGACAGGGAAACTGGTGATAACCTGCAGTGTCTTCTTGGAGGTTATTGTGTTGGTTGATGTTCAGCCGTGTTCTGGCACACGCACGCACGCACGCGCACACACACACACACACACACACACACACACACACACACACACACACACACACACACACACACACACACACACACACACACACACACACACACACACACACACACACACACACAAGCACACACACACACACACACACAAGCACAAGACGAAGCTGAAAAAGGTTCAGAGGTATGCCACTAGACTAGTTCCAGAACTAAGAGGCATGAGTTACAAGGAAAGGCTGCGGGAAATTCTATATGGCTTGCCGCCGCTTCTGGACACCTTATGACACTGGAGCCAGATTCACGAAGCAGTTACGCAAGTACTTACGAACGTGTACATCTTTCCTCAATCTTTGACGGCTTTGGTTACATTTATTAAACAGTTTATAAGCGTGAAAACTTCCCAATCAACTGTTGTTATTGTTATAAACAGCCTCCAGGTGCTTCGGAGCTCATTAACTGTTTAATAATTGTAAACAAAGCCGTCAAATATTGCGGAAAGATGTACACGTTCGTAAGTACTTGCGTAACTGCTTCGTGAATCTGGCCCCTGGAAGACAGAAGAGTAAGGGGAGACATGATCTCTACCTACAAAATCCTCAGGGGAATTGACAGGGTAGACAAGGATAACAATTCAACACTGGTGGTACGCGAACAAGGGGACACAGGTGGAATCTGAGTACCCACATGAGCTACAGGGGACGTTAGAAAAAACTTTTTCAGTGTTAGAGTAGTTAACAAATGACATTAGGCAGTGATATGGTGGAGGCTGACTCCATACACAGTTTCAAATGTAGATATGATAGAGCCCAGTAGGCTCAGGAATCTGTACACCAGTTGATTGACGGTTGAGAGGCGGGACCAAAGAGCCAAAGCTCAACCCTCGGAAGCACAAATAAATGAATACACACACACACACACACACGCACACCTATCTACTATCTATTTAAGCGGGGTCCAAAAGCTAACAGCTCGATTCTGCAGATACACATAATAAATACACACACACACGTGTACTCATCTACTTGTGCTTGTAGTGTGTGTGTGTGTGTGTGTGTGTGCGTGCGTATGTGTGTGTGTGTGTGTGTGTGTGTGTGTGTGTGTGTGTGTGTGTGTGTGTGTGTGTGTGTGTGTGTGTGTGTGTGTGCGCGTGCGTGCGCATGTGCAGTAAATCATAACACCTTATAAAACACCTGAGTGCTTTCGTGACCTTCAGCACATATTCAGAGACGAATTCGCCTCTTGAGTGTGTATTTGTGTATGTGTAGTATGTATACATATTGCAGCAGTGTAGATACATGTTGCATAGTCTGCATACATGTTGTAGTAGTCTGTATACATGTAGTAATCTGTATATATGTTGTAGTAGTCGCTATGCATATTGTAGCAGTCTGTATACATATCGTAGCAGCTCTATACATAATGTACCATGTCTGTATACATGTCGTAGCTGTATGTAGTATACATGTATTAGAATCATACAGTTACATATTTTCATGTATGTAAATAAATAAATATATATATATATATATATATATATATATATATATATATATATATATATATATATATATATATATATATATATATATATATATATATATATATCACTAGTGATTAAAATGTACGTTCTTGAGTGAGAGGGCGTGCAGAGCGGTTGGTTATTTGGTATAATTGTAAAGATAATTAATTATTATCAGTAATTATTACGTTATACCAAACAATTATTTGGTATAACAAGATAATGGGTAGTCTTGGAGTTAATACAGCGCATCGTTGTACAATAAAAGTATAGCATCTATTTAGTCAAACGTACAAAAATGAACGGTTACAGCCAACAATATTCAC